TTTTCTCTTGGATAAGAAATTAACCAGCATCTGAGGAGTGATATTGGTGGCATAGCAGAGATCTACGAAGGACAGGTGACTGAGGAAGAAGTACATTGGAGTGTGAAGCCTCGAGTCGCTTCTGATTAACAAGATCATGCCCCCATTGCCCACTACTGTGATCAAGTAGATGAGGAGGAATACCACAAATAGGACAGGCTGCAACTCCGCTCGATCTGTCAGTCCCAGGAGAATAAACTCAGTCACTGCTGTGTGGTTTGTCTTGAACATTGCGTTTGCTTGGCTTCAAAGGAGGGCTAAATAAGGGAAAAAGAAAGTCATGTCTTTTGTCATCCATCCTTAATCCCATCATGTCATCTGATATTTCCTCCTGTTCCCTCAACTGTATAAACACATGTGGCATAAAGAAATAGCCTAGTAATCACACAATTGGTGCTTTAAATATCTAAATTAACATAGAACTCCTCTACATAAAGGTAGTCACATTTTTAATGTTTTTCTGTAAGTCTTTTCACATTTAAAAACCCCTTATCTTTCCTGCAACTCTTTATTATAGTTGATCATTTACAATTTTCTTAAACGTTGCTTTTCTTTGACATTGTAACCCCATTTTTGTCAATATACCTCTTGGTGTGGTAGCTAATGCATCATCATTGAAGCTCATCTCTTTTTTTTCTCAGCTGAATGGACTTAGGGAAGTGGAACTGATGTAGGGCACACATCCTTATAGAACTAGGATCTGCCTACCTGCTCCTCTAAACTCATGCTCATTTTCAAGCTGTTCCTTCCCCCTGCAATGCATGTGCATTTCCCCCACTCTCCTCTGCCTCAGGAGGCCCTCTAATCACCAAATTTTATGTAACTTGTAAGACTCAGCTCAGGACCTCCTTTGCCATGTGTGTTACTGCCAATTAGGGGGCAAAAATTCATTCATGGGCCACAAAAGCAAATAAATCTTTTTCTATAAAAACAGATATATGTACATATATATACAATACCTAAACAATGTGTGTGCATGTCTGTGTAGACATACAGATGCACATACAGGGGTTCCAAAACAATGTATACACATGACTTGTATACATCTTTGGTTACTGGTATCTATTGAGTATTACAATTTTAATACAGGTTTTCCTTTCTTAAAATGTTTGTACATTTCTTTGGCACCCTCTGTATATCCATGATATTAAATATTGATGGGAAAAGTGATTAGGAATATTAAAAGGCTTCCTGCTTGGGGGAGACAATCACGAAAGAAAAGGCTACAAACAATCATAATGATTTTGTAATTCTACCTCACTTTAACTCTTTCCAAAGTAAATTAAAAAAAAAACTCTATATACCATGAATTCAATTTAAGTTATTAAAAACAGCTAAAAGGTCACACTGAAATAATCATATTACCCATCCAGCTGAAAGAGTACATAAGATATCATGAAGCCATCCCCAAAAATTTATGCGACATAAAAGTGACCAGGAAGACCATCATGGAAAAATCTACATGCTCCTCCAATAAAACATACCCAGCTATGTCAACGTTATACTGACTCTTGCTAATAGCAACAATGCCAAAGGTGGATGGACCCAGGTCACTTGGAAGGCCCTTGGTCCATCCACCACTCCAGCATCCTGTTAATTGCCTTATCCCATTCTGCACTTGAGGACTTTGGACTGGACAACAAGGGTGATTCAATGCAAGACAAGTCACCTAAATCAGCAAAACCATAATAATTCTGTGGTTTTATTTAGGTTCATATTTAAGATTATAGTAATTGTCATAATCAACAAATGCTCTCTTTGTGCTAGGACTATATATTTAATAAGTCTCTACTATTAAAACATTAATCAAAAGCCAAAATAATTAATATCTCCATTCCTTTTTTTACCATCAGGGAAAAAAGGCAATGCAAGCAATGAGCATTCCAGATAATTTAACTGAGTACTTACTTCATGGTTATAACCTTCCTTTAAATAAACACAACACAATATCCTAAATGATTTAAGAAAGAGAATCTCAGAAGTATTTGCAAGTGGACAACTTGGCTCTGGGGATCCCTGAGGTTTATACCCTTGACATTCACCCTTACTCGGAGACTTTCTCATGTAGATGCTTTCTGTCACTACCAGGAACTCAGAGTCTAGAAAGTTGTTCTTTCGCTGTAACGAGGATGATATCTTTCTGACATTTGGTCATGGTTCAATTTGAAGAGGAAAAAGAAATTTAGAGAAGGCATCTTCATGAAATGCTTTTCTATACACAATTTTAAATAATTAATATTGATTATAAACCTAAAAGTGGCTAATTCTCCATGAAGCGGTATAGAACATTACATGATATGATGCTTATAAAAAGTAGCATTGTTAACTCAGAAGGAACCAGAAAGACTGTTTAGTACCACCCCCGTTAGNAGAAGGTGTTATCAGAAGACAGATCTAAATGAAGTGATGAAATGAGGAAGTCACTTAAAGGTCTGGGGAAATAACATTCTAGGCAGAATAAGCACTACGTGCAAAGGCCCTGAGATAGGTATGTGCTCAGAATGTTCAAGAAACATCCTGAAGTCACTATGGCGGGAGAAGAAGGACTGAAGAAAAAGTTGTCCAAGAGTTTGGAGAGGGGAATAGGAAGACATCATAAGATCCTGCAGACTCTGGCAAGAAGTTTAGATTCTAGACCAGGGATAATGGAACATCTTGGAATACTCTACTAAGTCAGTAACATGATATGATGATGTTTATAAAAGATCACTGGTTTATATTGGAAGATAGAGTATTTCAAATACAGAATAATGAAATGAATTGTAGTAGCTTATACGAGGAAGAATTTGTCTTAGAACTTGCTGGTAGCAGAGCAAATGCTGACAAGTCGTTTTAAGATTCAATACATAATATCTGAAGGTAGAATTGATAAAATTCCTGATGGTTAAATATAAAATGTGAAGTCAAGGGTATGAGATAAGTTAAAATATGTATATAAAACATAGATGAAATATGAAATAAATTGGGTTATTGTGTAATGAAAAGCTATTAGTGAGATCAAAGGGCATATTAGGTGGAGAAAAAATGGATTATTACTTGTTGATTTCAAATTAAAGAAATGCAATGGACAGAACTCCAAAGGACCAGGCGAGTTTCCTTGCTGTTGGAGAGTAACCAAGCAATAAGGAAGAAACTGAACCTGAATAAATATTCATCAGGCTCTCTAGAAGTATATGATCCTCAAATTATAGAAGTTTTTTTCTCACTGACAATGGTAGAACAAGTCTATATTCCCCCCATCCCCTGATAAAGCATTTATGTTATGACAATAACATAATAACAATAGACAATGGCAGCCGCCATCCTTGACATCATGGGTTCCAATTCCCTAGCCTAAATAGGGACACTGATGAGCTAAGTCAAATTTCACATGTACTAGCACAATTAAGGTGGGAGTTGCAAAGCAGTCAGCCCAGTATGGTATGGACTTGAAATATGCTTCTCAAATGTATTGTCCACTTGAATCAGCACCACCATCCACCTGAGGCATCTACTGAAACTCTTCCATCTCTGAGGGAAATAACAGCCTGCTTTAAACCTCTCTTTCAAAGCTAGTTTGTTTTCGTGCCCATTATTTTGTTTATTCTTGGCTGCATACAATTTATTTGGTTTTTTTATATCTGAAAAATTATTTTTCTCTTTTAGTGAAGGTGAAGACTGAAGATAGTTCCCCACTGGCACATTGGCTGAAACTAAAAAGCCAATGAGAGCTGCAGCCCATCCTTTTTGTGGTGTTTCTCCTGATTTACCTCAAAACAAAAAAACAATCAATAAAATTTTCCAAATAAAAATGTGATATTCCTTATGTGAGTAATCATCAGAAATAACATAAAGGCAGTCATCAAACAATATTTTCTTTGTTTTTTAAATGTACATTTCAAAATTCTGTCAAAACAAAACAGAATTCTTCCCTAAGAATTTCAGTTAAGACAAAAGAGAAACAAATAATCTTAAATAATACTTCCTAACAGCAATGGTATAGTTAAATGATTATTCTCAATTGTTACTATTCATAAGTGTAAATTGCAAGAAACTTTCTGGAGAAAAATTTACCCATAGAAAAATTTAGTAAGAGCTTTAAAAATGTTCAAAACATTTAATTTGGCAACTACACTTTCAGGAATATATCCTAATGGAACAATGAGAGAGATGTACATACACATACTAATCAATCTCAAAAATAATAGGCTACATCATCATGATGGAATAATGTCTTCCAAGATAAACCAAGTAGAAAAACATACACCAAAATGCTGAAAGGAATTCATTTTAGGTAGGAGATTACAAGTAAATTTTGTTTTCATTTCTTACATCTCTTAGTATTTTTCAGTTTGTTTCTCTATAATATATATGAATTATTTTTGCAATTAAATTCAATATGAATTAATTTTACACTACATTAAAAATGATGTTCACCAAAATATTTAGTCTATACTAAATACAAACTTATTATACTCTCAAGTGAAAGTCAATGTTCACGAGATTATCATGTTAAGAAAATAAGACAGAAAAAGTGAAGAACCATGATTTCACTCCTATGTGGGATATAAAACTGAAAACGACAAGTGAATGAGATAAACAAAACTCATAGACACAGATAACAGTTTAGTGGTTACCAGAGGCAAAGGGGGGAACAGGAGGTGGTAGAAAAGGGTAAAGGGGGTCGAATATATGGTGACTTGACTTTGGGTGGTGAACACACAATGCAAAATATAGATGATGTGTTATAGAATTCTACACTTGAAACCTATATAACATTAATATTCAATGTTATACAATAAATTTAATTTAAAATACAAAAAAATAATAACATTAAAAGAAAATAAAAGTCTTTTGCCATGGTTGAGAGGTTTCTGGAAAATAGTTTTGAAATTATTAAACACTATAAAAATCTAACAGGTGGTCATTGTCATAGCAGCATTTGATGATTCTGTCTCATTACTTCATACCTGTATGAGTATCATGGATGGAATCATCTGTTCTTTATTGACTTTAAAGAGCAATAACAGTGTCTTCCAGTATTGCCTTTGAATTTCTATGCACTGATTTTTTCTATCATAGACATGGTACTATAAATACTAGCAAATAGTTAGACACATTTTTCTAAGACACATATGCTAATTTTGGAAGACAAAATATACTCATTGAGAGAAAGTGATTCCTTAATTGACAGTGTTCATTAGTAGGTCAAGTAATAAGGATATATTGCATACTTATAACAAAAGTGCTGTATTTTATTTATCGAACAATTTCTTTAGGATAACTTTCCTTATTGCTTCTTTAACATCTTTGTTTCGCAGACTATAGATCAAAGGATTTAACATAGGACTCACAAAGATATAAAACACAGCTATAATTTTCCCC